TTGTCTGGTGTAAAAAATTCTGGGAAAGTCACATTACAAGAGCTTTTTACTCAGTTGATGACTTTTAAGGTGATGTCTGCATAAAATATGGATGAGGAGGAATCAGAGAGGCCATAGAGGGAAGAGGTTGGGGTTGCAAGAGAATCTGAGCATCAAGAGCATCATCAGGTGAGTCAGAGCAGCACCTGTTTTGCAAAGAGTCCTGAAAAAGAGTTTGGAAAGGCATTAAGAGAGCTCAGGATAAGGTCAGAAATGAGGGATCAAGGGTCCTCGGGCACATGGAGCTGTAAAGTGGCAGGACAGGAATGGGAATAGTCAAGAGGCCATGGGATGAACTTGGCTCGTCCTGCATGAGAGGCAGCGACAATTCACTGGGGGAAGTTCTGCAAAGGGCAGGAATTTGGATTGGTTTTAGTGGTAATGATGCCTTAGGATTTAAGTTTTTATATTTTTCATGTGTTTTTTTTTTAATATATTCCTGCAGAAGGCAGGAATTTGGATTGGTTTTAGTGGTAATGATACCTTAGAATTTAAGCTTTATATTTTTCATATATCTGTAATCCTGTAATTCTTTAGTGCATAACTCTAAAGTCCATATACATTGTTAGCTACCGTCTTCCCATTTTGGTTGAACAAAACAATTCCTCTCCAGGCCCGGGAATCAAGGACACTTCACTGTCTCAGGTCCTGAGAAATGCAAACAAAAGTGAGTTGGGGGGGAGCAAACTTGGGGTAAATTACCTCATTACCTGAAGCTGTAATTGGATTAACCCCCAATATGCAAATGGACCAAACTTATAAAAGTATAAAAACCAGTGACCCGTTGTCCATTTTTTTTGGGTGTAGCCCCTGGGTGGGCTTCATCTGCCCAAAATGCACCTTTAGGTCCCATTAATAAATGTAACTGCTTTTTATCCTCTTGATTTTGTCTGGCCTCTGTTTTTGGGCAGCCCTGAAAACCATCAGCTTGGCATCAGTTAAATAAGAGGCGGAGGAGAGCTAACTGTTCTATTTGTCCCAAAAAACACCTTCCTAGCACACAACACGTGCATGATTCAGAGCAGGAATGTGGCTGGGCAGGGCGGGCTGGGAGCGGGGTGAGCCTTCCCCATCTGACTCTGCGAGATCATTTTTAGCCTCAATCTCTCCCCTGGCCCGTTAAAGTCCCTATCTGAACATCTCTGAGTGCGTTGGGCCCGATAACATCTGAACAAGGCAGAGGAATGGAAATGCTGTGGAACTCGCCCCGGGCCATAAAGGAAATGCGGAGCACAGCAAGGAACTGCTGGTCCCTAAGTCCAGTTTATCCAGTCTCTCTGCCCCACAGACTTTCTCCAGTGGTTTAAATCCAGTTTTTAATCAGCTGCTGCAAATTGGGTTGATTTCAGAGGAACTTTGTCAGACTGGTAATGTAAATTCTAACGTGCTGTAGGAAGTACTGGATGGCCCAATCCTTATCCACAGGGATGATGAATAATGGTTAATTGTACCAGCAGTAAAGAAAATTCATGAAGCCTTAGAATCATGGAATGGTTTGATTTGGAAGTAACCTTCAAGATCATCTTGTGGGCAGGGACAAGTTTTGTCAGACCAAATTGCTCCAAGTCCCATCCAACCTGTCTGGGGACACTTAAGTTTTTAAAGACCCTGTCCTCAATTTTAGGCCTTTTCAGAAGAGTGGAGAGGACAGAAGAATTGATAAAATTGTTTCAAGAAGCAATTTCCTTGGGCAAAATACACCCAGCCTTGTTTTTCAGATGAATATTGTGCTTTTGTGTCCTGCAGCAGCTCTCAGGATGCTTTAACAGTGCCCAAAATGTAAATTATCCCAGATTTCTGTACCAACAGAGCACAGTTGGTGACAGAGGGTGCAGGGCTGAGCAGAGGGACCTGACCCCGAGTCCTGTTGAGATTTATGATGGGTTTAAAGCAGGAGGGGGAACCAACCTTTCTGCCAAGGCGCAGTCACAGCCCTCAAGAAAACATCCCGTTCTCTTCCTGGTCCTGCCCTGGCCCAGCCCAGGTTCTGATCCGCAGCTGAGTCATTTATCTGCCCCAATTTGCCACCTCCTTGCCCTTCCCAGAAATCAGAGAGTTGTTTTCGAGGCTTCTCTGTCAGTGACCTGGAGGGACAGTGAAATTTGGGGATATTCCAAGTGCTGTGCCAGGTGCCATCAGTTGCACAGGGGCTCCTGCCCAGCTCTTTCCTGCTTCTGTCCCAGTCTTGGCCTCTCCCAGCTGCACGTTTTCTAAACTATCTCACCACCAAATCATGGAAAATCCCAGAATATCTTGGGCTGGAACCCCCCCTCCATGGGCAGGGACACCTTCCACTATCCCAGGGTGCTCCAAGCCACATCCAACCTGGCCTTGGACGCCTCTAGGCATGGGGCAGCCACAGCTTCTCTCAGAAAACCTCTGCCAGGGCCTCATCACCGTCCCAGGGAAGAATTCCTTCCCAATATCCTGTCCTCTGACAGTAGGAAGCCATTCCCTGTGTCCTGCCCCTCCATCCCCTGCCCAAAGCTCCTCTCCAGCTCTTTTGGAGCCCTTTCAGCCACTGAAACCTCTCCCCAGAGCCTTCCCTTCCTCAGGTTGAGCAACCCCAACTCTCTCTGCCTCTCCTTCTGGGAGAGGTGCTCCATGCCATCCTGCCTGTGCAACTTCCAGATACATCCACAGAGAGGATTTATCTCTAGGTAAATCCAGATGAGAATCACTCAGTGGTCAATCCTGGACTCCTTCAGGGCAGAAACTGAGAGAAGAAATCATCCCTTGAGCCTCAGAGTGTTTAGATATTGTGTGTCAACCAACAGAGCTTGGGAAAGCCACCTCTTGGCTCTGGGAGGAAACTCCTCAATTACATGCTTGAGGAAGTAGATGGCATTGACATGAGACCAAAATATTAAACTAGAGATGAACATCCCCCATTTATACTCCCCTGAGGTATAAATATATATTTTGGGGACAAATTCCCAAAATTCCCATCCCTGGAAATGTTCAAGGCCAGGTTGGAAGGGGATCTGAGCAACCTGGGATAGTGGAAGGTGTCTCTGCCCATGTCAGGGCAGTGGAATGAGAAGATTTTAAAAGTCCCTTCCAACCCAAATCATTCCATGATCTTAGGGATGTGTTTGACTCTTCCAGAAGCTGGAAGAGGCCGTTTCACCCACCTTCCCTGAGAACTCCAATGGCTCTGGTGCCACTGTGCCTTGGCCACTTAAATCCCCAGTCTCCAAAAAAGACCACTGCAGCCAAATTGCTTGTTGGGAATGGCCTCTGGATGTGGAATTGTTTCAGAAAGTGGACACAGGGCATTAAGGGTGTCAGAGACATCCTTGTAGCGCAAGGAGAGGATTCCCTGGAATGGAGAGCTCATGGAGTTGGTCACCCATGCAGAAAACAGCCTGACTGGAAGACTTACAGGTGGACGAGCCCCTTCTCAGGGATATGACTCAGGAGGTTTGGTAAAGCCAGAATAAATCACTGCACTTGTCCCGAATCGTCCCTTCACCAATAACCAGATCAGATTCCTATAAACAAGGTGGCTCATTCTTGATTTCCTCTGGGGAAACCCCTTCCCAGCTTCCTACAATTAGCAGGTTCCTTACAATTAGCCCTGCATCCTGAGGATTTATGAGCTCTTCACAACAGCAGATGGTGTCATTAGCTCCTTTGACTTCATCCCAAATGGGATTTTGATCCTTGTCCCATGGCTATGGATCCTCCAGGTGACTCATCCCCCCCAGGGAAATGATTCCCTGTTATTTCAGCCTGTGGATCTTCACATCCTTGGCAGCTCCAGTAGGTTTTAAGGTGGAAGAGAGGAATTTGTGGCTCTTGGTCAGTCTCTCTCCCCTTTTAATCCTCCAACTACTGCTGTCCTGACTTCACAGCTCCTTAAATCCTGTTTTCCCACCCAGGGCTTTCCCAGATTCACTCTCTATGTTTTCCTCCTTGTTTTTTTTTTACCAGATCTCTTCACGTCGGTGTAGCTTGGAAAACACCTGAGAGTTTCTCTCAGGCCTCTTTGTACGGAGCTCTTCCTGCTGCCTTTGATCTCCCAATGCCAGGTGGGAACATCCGAGTTTATGTCCGTAAAATAAATCAGCTGGAAAAGGCACGGAATAACTTTGAATTTATAGTCACAGAGAGGGGCTATTACTGTTTATGAGAGATGTAAAAGAGTCTGCCTTGTACTCAGACACCTCATGGGTGCTGTTCAATCTCAAACCACTGGCCTTGGAACACTGATCCAGCCTGTCCAGATCCCTCTGCAGAGCCTTCCTGCCCTCCAGCAGATCAACACCCCACCCCATTTGGTGTCATCCATGAACTTCCAGAGGGTGGTCTTGACCTCCTCATCCAGATCATCAATAAATATATTGGACTGACCCCAGTACTGATCCCAGGGGGACACCACTGGTGACTTGCCACCAGCTGGATGTGGCACCATTCCCCACCACTCTGAGCCTGGAATCCAGCCAGTTTTTATCCCAGCCAAGAGTGCACATTCCTAAACCCTGGGCTGCCAGTTTTTTCCAGGAGAACATCATGGGAAGCAGCATCACAGGCATCCCTGAACTCCAGGGAGATACATCTGCAGCCTTTCCCTCCTCCTCTGGGGAGGTTACCTGGTCATAAAATGGACTTCAGGGACTCACATTGCACAGCAACGACTGGGCTGGACATTGGCCAGACATAAAACACCCACCTGCAGCTCTGCTGTGGGCAGAAATAGATGACTGAGTGATAGACACAGTGGGTGGAGAAATAACTTTATTTTAGGTGTTTTGCAGATAACACGAACACACATTTCCTTATCTGGTAGCACTGGAGCTTTGCAATGAGATTAAAGCAGAAGCCATCATACGGCAAGGAGTTGCCATCAGCTCCCAGGGTGCTGGGTGCCCAACACACCCCACTGCGCCTGGTTAGGATTCCTGTTATTAGAGGGGTGCTCTGAGACTTTCTGTGGTCATGGGAGGCATCTTTGCTCCTCAGAATTTGTTGTTGAGGATGGTCCAGAGCACTCCGGCCGCTACCCCTCCGGCCAGCCCGTAGCTGGACCTCACACTGCCCGCGGTGTTGGCATTGCAGAAGTCGCTGCTGCAGCAGGAGATGTTCCTGTGGCCCACGTTGAAGTCCTGGTAGGATGGCTCACACGAGCTGTCACATCCCTTGCTGATGATGCTGACGAGCCCCACAACCCCTGGGAGGAAAGCAGGACCATTAGGGTTAGCCTAAGATTCAGCCTTCCACAAGCCAAACCTTGTGGAACTGAATAACGGGATGCTCGTTCTGTGGGACAAAAATCGGAATCACAGAATAGTTTGGCTTGGAAGGGACATTCAAGATCACCTCATGCTCAGGGACACCTTCCACTAGGCCATCACCCCTGGGAGGAAAGCAGGACCATTATTACAAGGATTCAGTACAAGCCAAGCCTTGTGGAACTGAATAATGGGATACTCGTTCTGCGGGACGGAAAGCAGAATCACAGAACGGTTTGGGTTGGAAGGGACATTCAAGATCCTCTCATGGGCAGGGACACCGTCTACTAGGCCACTACCCCTGGGAGGAAAGCAGGAACATTATTACAAGGATTCAGTACAAGCCAAGCCAAGCCTAGCCTCAGTGGAACTGAATAATGGGATGCTCATTCTGTGGGACAAAAATCGGAATCACAGAATGGTTTGGCTTGGAAGGGACATTCAAGATCATCTCATGGGCAGGGACACCTTCCACTGCCCCAAGCCCTGTCCAACCTTTCCTTGGACAATTCCAGGGATGGGGCAGTCACAGTTTCTTTGGGCCTCACCACCCTCAAAGCAAGGAATTTCTTCTTAATATCCCATCCAACCCTGCCCTCTCTCATGTGAAGCCCAATCCCAAACATCTTTGTTGCACGGAGCCTTTCAACACCTGGGAAATTATGGAAACATGGCTATTCCAATTTCAGATGGCACAGTTATTGTTTGATTTGCTTCTGAGAGGCACAGCCCATCTTTTTAGCCATTTTTGGCAACTACTTGTTACCAGCAGATTTTGACCTCCAGGTGATTTCACCCATTCTCCTCCAGGAGATCTAAAATCCATTCTGGGCACCAAATCTTTGCCATGTGCAAGAAATAACAAAGAGTCCTACGACATCTTGGCTCTCCTGCATGTGGATGTCATGGATTTGCACATTTCCAACTGGGATAATTCCTACTGGAGGCATCCCATCTACTGCCTGACAGAGAGGAGTTTAAATGTGGCACTGATAGGTTTTGTGCCCCAGGTCCAAGAGCAGCTCAGCTGTTGGCACAGATCTGGACAGGGCAAACCAGATTTAGAACAGGAGGATAAAATCCTAGTTTTTCAAGTTTTCCCACAGACACAGAGACGAAATTTTGTCACTTTCATTGATTTCACCTCAAATCAGCACCTCCTAACTTCACAACCAGGATAGACCAGGCTCAGCCCCTCCCATTCTAATTCATGTTTGCAAATATTGCAAAAAAAAATTAACCATTGCCCTTGCAAGCAAATAATTTTTGGCGCTGTGAAAGAGAAATAAACCAAATTTTGCACAGGTGAAAGACCCTTGCACAGTGAGGTTTGCTGGCCCAAACCACCTGGTGCATCCAGACTGGGTGAGCCTGGATGGGACACCTGAGGCTGGGAAGAGGTTTGGCTCCAGCATCCCAACTAAGACATTTTCCACCCTTGCTTTTCCTTACGGATCACGTCCGTCTTGCACATGTTGTTCTCTCCACACGTCTTCACCGTCTGGCACTTGGAGTTGCTGAGCTGGGAGGTGCAGCTGTAGCACTGCAAAGACGAACCTGCAGGAGACCAAGAGGGGTTAGGAGAGAAATCAGGGAATAAAGGAACGGTTTGGTTTGGAAGGGACTTTAAAATCATCGAGTTCCACCCCTCTGCCATGGGAAGGGACAACTTCCAGCTTTGGATTTGGATACTTCCAGGGATGGGGCAGCCGCAGCTTCCCTGGGCAGCCTGATCTATTTTTTTTACCACTCTGATTATAAAAGATGTCTTAATTATACTTAACCTGAATCTACCCACTTTTAGTTTTAAAAAATTACCCTTTATCCTATCTCAACAGGACCTCTTAAAAAATTATCCCCAACTCTCCTGGAGCCTCTTTAGGCACTGAAAAGGGCTGTAAGGTCTTGTGAGCGTTTTCTCTTCACCAGGGTGGACACCCCCAGCTCTCCCAGCTCCAGAGGAAAGAGGCTCCAGCCCTCAGAGCATGGAGACCCCCATGGAGGCCTCCATGGTCTCCTCTGGACTTGCTCCAGCAGCTCCACGTCCTTCTGGTGCTGGACCCCAGAACTGGACCCAGCCCTGCAGGTGGGGAACAATTCTCCACCTCTCATGCATCTTCAGTCTATCTAAAGCTTTCCACAGAATTCAGCCACAGGGAAACAGAACAGGACCAATCCTGGGGATCTTCAAAGGAAGATATCTTCTCTGCTTTGGGAAAACTTTTTTTTTTTAAATTTTTAATTTTTTTTTTTTTTTTTTGTGGATAATAATATACCTGCTTGAGGTGGGAGCCAGGTTTGGCAGGTGCTGGAGATATTTTGGATGTAGTCAGTGCAGTGAGGGGGCAAAAAGAGAGCAGAGGGACAGCAGGGCTTGAAGAGGATTCATGGAATGGTTTTGATTGGAAGGATCATTTCATCAGGGACACATCCCTCCAGACCAGGTTTCTGCAAGCCCCATCTGACCTGGACTTGAGTGAGGGATGAAGAAGGAATGTGCAAAGTCTCCTCCATCGCCTTGTCTCAGTTCTTAACTTTTGACTCGCCCTTTCCATCATGCTCTGCTAGAAATCAAAGTGCAGATGGCTTTCACCCCTCTCTGACCACCCATGGTGGAAATGCCACTCCAGAGGGGATGGAAATCAGTGCTGGCCACACCTGCTGGGCTGCTCTGTGCATCCAGCAAAGGCAGGAAAAACCTGGCACCTCCCAAGCATCCAGCCCTGGTGAAAAACTGTCCCCAGAGGAGTGAGATCATGGTGTAATTACCTGCTCCTGTCACCTGCTTGTGCCCCAGGGTGTCACTGGAGCCTTGCAAGTGTCTGTTAATAAATACTAATAATAAATACTAAAAATAAATAAAATAAATAATAATAAACATATATATATATATATATATATATATATATATATATATATATATATATATATATATATATTTCCTTGAGCCCCATGACCACCAAACTTGCATCACAAATCCCCCAACTCAATGCCCTATTGCCTGAAATACTCTTTTAGGTCACTGAAAAGCCCCGTTTGGAAATTAGTGATTGAAGGAATTAATTTGAGGCACTCTGTCCAAGCCTCTCTGGTGCAAATGACTGATGCAGTCACAGAGGTGAGGAGCCAACCCTCAATTTGTCTGAGTGCTGCACTGTTCTCGCACTGATCTGACTTTTAAAGCAATAAAAGTCAAATTTTGAGTGTTCTGATTGAAGCTGGCAGAGAGAAAGGTCTGAGGACTGTGCAAGACCCTTCACAGCTTATTCCTTAAGCATCCTCTGCTGATTGAGAAACTGCCCAAATTTGATTCTTCTCTTCTCTGGTAACAGGGAAAAGCTGCTTCAAAGCAAATTTTTTTTCTTCTCAGTGAGGCAAAAGTTGGTAGAAAATGTTGCGTGAACGTTGCAATTTTGATAGCTTGGGAAGAAGGAAAATCCTCCCACCCCACTTAGCCCCTCCCCTTCCCCCTTTAACTGTATGGTCTGTCTGAAAAAAAAAAAAAATTTGATTAATTCGGAATTCAGGATTTTATCTTTCCTGGAAGCTTCTCTCCCCATCACTCGGGTCCCACCATCCCCATGTGAGATGTGCATTTTTCCCACTCAACACCCATCCAAAGATAAATACCTTGGTACGACAACGTGCCAACTGTCCCTTCCCTCACCGCCAAAACCCCACCACAAATCCTCCTTCCAGACTGAAATCCTGCAGGGGAGGGATGGGGGGCAGATCCTTTGTGGGGTCTTACCTGAGTTCACGCACAGGAGCGCTCCCAGCAGGAGCACAAGGAGAGCCTTCATCTTGGAATAACCTGTCTTGGGGCTGCCTCTCTGTGTTGCTTGCTCCTGGGGCAGGTTATATATCCTGGGAGGCCGGGCGTGCCCACAAGGTCATCCCTGAGAAGGCACCTGAGGGAGCTGCTGGCAGCACCAAGGGAGGGGTTGCTTTGCGCTGTTGGGATGTTTGTGTTTGGTGCCTCTCCTCTTTCCCCTGCCACTCTCTGGGCTCCCCTCCACCCCTGCCTCCCCTCCTACCCTTGGGCAAAGTGCTCACAGGAGTGGAAAAAGCCCCAGATTCTTCCCTCCTACCCTTAGGCAAAGTGCTCACAGGAGTGGAAAAAGTCCCAAATTCTTCTGAACAAGGCCGGCCTTATGCATTTCTTCAGAGCCACTGAGGCTGTGGTGGCACCCTGTGAATGAGGCCCTCCACCCCCAGTGCCACCCTGAGTGGAGCCATTGTGTTTAAATTGAGGACAAAATGTTCTTTGAATCAACAGCTCCGGGTATTTATCTGCCTGTGTGAGTGATACTCGTGATAACAAGGTATGCGGTAGGGAGGTATGTGGGCAAATTAAAAGTGCATTGGCATTTCCAGGTATTGAGGGGTTCATTTGCCCTCATTTGCATTTGTTTTCTCTTACAAAGCAATGGCCAACCCTTATTTTTGATGTTTGAAACCCATGGTGACTTCGTGCTGGGTTTGTTTGGTGTTTTGAGACGTTTCATCTGTGGCTTGGTTCTCTTTGTGTGCTCTTGTCTGGCATAGGCTGGGTACAAGTTTGGACACTTGGCTTAGAGCAGATGCTATGTCAACAGCCCAGGCTTGTCCATAAAATGCAACTTCCCCATCACAGACAGGGTGAGTTCAGCCGCATTCCAGCCTGGAGTGCGAATGTTTGCTCTCGTGGGTTGAGCAGAGTCCTCTCCCATTCCTCACACCCTGTGACCACTTCTCAGGACATGCCAGGGCAAAAGAAAACAGGCCTTTATTCACTAAATTCAAATTTTATTATTTTATTTTATTTTATTTTATTTTATTTTATTTTATTTTATTTTATTTTATTTTATTTTATTTATTTTTTATTTTATATTTTATTTTATTTTTTATTTTATTTTATTTATTTTTTAATTTTTTTTTAATTTTTATTTTATTTTATTTTATATTTTATTTTATTTTTAATTTTATTTTATTTTAATTTTATTTTATTTTTTTATTTTATTTTATTTTATTTTATTTTATTTTTTATTTTATTTTTATTTTATTTTTTATTTTATTTTATTTTATTCCCCTAGTATCTTGGGATCAGTGGTGTGCATTTCTCTCCTTCAGGGATTTATTCCCATGCAGTTCAGCTCTCAGGAGCTTTTCCAAAAGGTGTGCAAGTGGATCATTTATCAGTGGCCGTGGGATGAAGGATACAGACTAAAATTCCTGCCCTTTGTTGCAGGAGATGATTTGACAAATCCTGATTCCTCCATGGGGATCTTAACCACTTCCACTTGCACTTTTCTGTGTAAAAAATACCTAAAAAACCACTTTTTTCTGTGTCTGTTGGCTTCTGCTTCATCAATTTTTTACAGACCATTTCATTTATAGCCAAGTTTTATGGATTATAAAACCCAATATTTTTTTTTCAGGCTCTGGACTTCCTCATTCAGAGATATTGAAGTTTATTTTTATTTTTTAATCCCTCAGGACTGTCCCTGTAGGGTTTGGCATTTTGTGGTAAGGAAGAACAGAGCCAAGGGGGAAAAAAACCAGTCCCTATCAAATCCACCAAGGCCTCGAATTAAATATTTTTTTTAAAAAGCATCGATAAGGAAGAAAAACTCTTTCTATCTTTCCCAGTGCCATTGTTTTTATTCTTTTTCTAACATCAGCCCGAAAACCTCAAAACTTGTGGTGCTGTGAGAGAATTGACAGCTGAGAGCTTCTCCATCCCCCAGTCCTGCTTGCCTGAGGCTGTGTGAGATCCCAGGAATTCCTGTATTACATAAATTGTTGATTCTCGCTGTGTTTTGGGAAACTGGAGTGCAATTCCTGCCTGACTCCTGAAGATGGCAAACGTACCCCATTGTAATTCCACGGGCATGAACATGCAGTTATCCACAGGACTGGGTGTATGAGGTGCTGTTTTCTTTTCCCGAGGTTATAAAATTCCCAATCCATCTGCCTTCATGGAAAAGACCATCAATTCCCTCTGGAAATCTCACAATGCCTGCAAATCCCTTGGAATTCAGGTTTTTTAAAAATATTTTTTTGCTGTCACTGCAGATTCCTGGTAGAGACAGGTTCTGGAGCTCTCTGTTTGGGAAGGGGGAAACAGGAGTTGATTATTTGCTCTGTCCTGGTTGTGGATTATTTGCTCCTGCCTGGCGTCAGGCTGGGAAAACGGTGATGGATCATGGTACAGACCATGGATCACATCAAGGAGCAGCCATGAGCTGGAAATTTGAGGAAAAAAAGGTGAGAGGATTCCTGGAAAATCTGGACAGAGAGACATCAAGAGGAAGTTTCTCCAATTTCCTGGACATCTGTAGGGGATGGCAGAGATCTTAAAATCACAGGATCGTGGAATTATTTGGGTTGGAAGGGTCTTCATGATGATCGCATTCCACACCCCTGCCATGGTCTAAGCCAGGTCTAAGCCTGGTCCAGCCTGGCCTTGGACACTTCCAGGGACAGGGCAGCTCAGCTGAGCTGAGCTCTGAGTTGTTTTCTCAGCATGGTCGTGCCTGTAACTCCTTTCCAGGATGTTCTTAAGTCCCTGTGTGTGGTTAAAATGGGAATTTTATTGCCTTTTCCACTCCTAGGTGGTGTTAACAGGGAGCTGATGCTGCCTGAAGTGCTGTCTGCAAATCTACCCAGGCTGTGAGTCTGTGGGATGTTAGAGAAGGGGTTTTAGTGACCAATTTTAGGCATCCAAGTGGGAATTTCTGATGGCTGTTGCTGGGAACACAGCCTCAGGAATGTTCAGCAGTCCCAAATCAGAATGGATGGGGAAGAAATGAGATTAAGTCACCAGCTGGGAGTGGGGCAAATCCCATTATAGACTTTTCTGTGAGGTGGGAAGAGTGGATCCCAAACGAGACATGGAATTGCATAGGCAGGATAACAGATGGATTGATAAGGGGAGAAAAAGATTTCAAAAGGAGGAGATGTAGAGATGTTCCCAGAGATGGATGGATGGATGGATGGATGGATGGATGGATGGATGGATGGATGGATGGATGGATGAGAGAGTAGGTTTAGACTGGATGTTGGGAAGTAATTCTTCCTTTGAGGGTGGTGAGGCCCTGGCACAGGTTGCCCAGAGAAGCTGTGGTTCCATCTCTGGAACTGTCCAAGGCCACAGTAGGACAACAGAACCAACCTGGTCTAGTGGAAGGGGCCCCTGTCCGTGGCAGGGGGTTGGACAAGATGACCTTGAAGGCCTTTTCCCACCCAAGCCATTCCATGATTCTATGGAAAACACACAGGATGTCCCCTATCTCAGCCTTCCCCAGCTCCTGGCTGTTCTCCACTTTGCTCTGTCCTGGGATGGTCATGAATGATGCTGATTCCAGCTGCTCCAGAGGTGCCCTTGGCTGCCAGCACAGAGTGGCTCCAGCTCCCACATTTGCAGGTATTAAACACCGTTCCATGTCATGGTTCCCCTCCCTCCCCAAGGATTTATACCCAGGTTTGCTGTTCAAATGATCTTCAGAGCACGTGGATGAATTCCTGCTGGAATTCCAGAGCCCAGAAATGGAGACTGGAGCTGCCATTAAGGGCAGGACATTGGGAGGGTGCAGGAAGGTGTTTGGGTTTCTGTCACTGAGCTTCTCAGGGACCTTTGGCTCGAGCCTTGCTTTCTTTGTGCCTCTTTTTCCTCCAGCACCATACAGGGCTTGGAATTCCTGCATCCCAAGTGAAGTTTTTGGGATCTGTGGGTGCACACAGGTACAACCAGGCTGCGATACAAAAGTTTAATGAGCAAGGAGTCTGTTTGACCTTGAGTATTTCTCCAAGGGTCTGGGCACAAGAGTGAAACATCCAGCAATTCCAGTTTGGGATTTCTGGAGCCAGGCTGGCCAGTCCTGGAGGAAAAGTTCACCTTCACATCCCACACATTCCTGCTGACAACCATGAAATCAATACAGGGATGAAAATAAATCCCACCACGGTGCTGATCTTGTCTGCAGAGCAAGGAGTCGATGGAGAAAATTCCAAGGGCTGCAGGGAATGGAGATTCCCATACGATGGTGCTGTTGCCACATGGCTGGAGCCCAAACCTCTCCCAGGGTGTGGGAGCAGCCCCAGATTGTTTGTTTAAAAATCTCAGCAACTTCAGAGCATCAAAAATGCATTTGAGTCTCTCTCTTTTTTTCTTTTTTTTTTTTTCTTTTTTGCTATTTTGCTAATTGCTGAGCTCTTCTGCTCGCAAAAGACTTGGAGTGTGGGATTCCTGCCAGCTCCTGCCAGCAATGCCTGGTGCATCCCAGAGTTGTTTGCAGGGAGAAAGGAGAGCATTTTCCTGCACTCACACTTTGGAGTTGGGGTGAAGGGTGGTAGAGCAGCCTGGGCTGGGACCACAAAGAGGTTCTGTGCTTGTTCTGCCCTCACAAAAATCTTTCTGACTTTTCCCTTACCAGGTGTTGCATCTTCCTATGTACAAATGTGGCAAAATATTGGAAATGCAGGCAGGAAATGTGAATTTCCTGGGATCACACAACTGATCTCAAACCAGGACTCTCAACCACCCTTGCTGCTTCCCAGTCTATGAACTTTTCCTTCCCCTGGCCCTACAAGAAGCCACAGAATATGGATGGGGAAGAACCTGAGATTTGCAGTGCAGCTGCTGCAGGAGGAAACACAGAATCACAGAAAAAATTTAGGTGGAAGGGACCTTCAAGATCATCCAGTTCCAACGCCTGCCATGGGCTGGGACGCCTTCTACCAGACCAGGGTGCTCCAAATCCTGTCCAACCCTGGTTAGAAAAGGGTGGTTTTGGGTCCAGCAGGGACCATTGCCCCTCATGTGGCCACAGCTGCCCTCAATCCATGTCCTCTTGGTC